AGTTTGGTCAAAATCTTTGGAGGACGCTAGTTTGTAGAAAGCTGATCTACTCCTACAGAGGATATGGTGATAAAGTGCTTGAATGTGCAGAGATGGATAGACTAACAATGAAATTAAAGGATAAGGGAGAAATGGAATTTTACAGGATCTGGGATACTTGGTATGAGTGGCTAGAGAATAAAAGCAAAGATTATGTATAAGGGTTATGCAAGAGCGACAGGAAATATATATATAGGTATTTGTGAAAAGGCAAAATATATATGTAAGAATGTTACCATAGGAATAGTATATAAAAGGAAAGAAAGAAAAACACAAAGATCAATATAAAATTACAAGAGATACTGATGCTGAAGCGCTGTAAAGATTGGAAATGTGGAAATGTTGGAAAACGTGTAATAAAAACTAATTAAAACAAGAAAGAAAGAAAGCTGTTCTAAAGAGTCCTGGGCTTTAGCAGTGGGAAATAACTCAAAGCCAACAAAAAAAACTTGGATCGTTGAAAACAAAGAGGATTTATTAAAAAGAAATAAGACGGTTTGCAAAGTGTTGGTGGTCTTTAGAACCTTAACAAGCAGGTTCAAAATCAAAAGCCACACCTTTAGAACCTCAAAACAGACTTTTATATACAGTTTCATCTCGTCACCCAAGTTCACCTTGCAAGGGACATCTCAAGGTCATCCAGTCCAACCCCCATTTGTAAAACCTTTAAGCATCTTATATACTATTTTATTTTTGAATTTACTTATTTCTAACCACCACTCACTTGCCCGTAGCTCTCAGTTGCTGACCTGCTTGCCTGGGACCAGTGGTGGGTTTCAAATAAACCTACCACCGGTTTGCTAAAAATGTGAGAGTGCGTGCATGTGCGGCTTTTGCCGCGCAACGAGGCTCAATCGACCTGCACTTCGGAGCCTGTGCTCCACTCCATCTCTGCTGTCCGGACCAGTGGGCCGGCTGCTTCTCTCCGCTGCTGATCTTGCTGGGACAGCAGACTGCAATTTAGCAGCTGTCGGCCGCCACTTTGGGTCCTCCAAGCCCCTTTGGGAAAGAGCCATAGCTGAGAGAAGCAGCAGTCGTGTTGAATGCTGTTTCTCTCGGCCGCGGCGGCTTTCCGGGTGGGATTTAGAGGACGCAAAGTGGCGGCTGACAGCTGCTGAATTGCAGTCTGCTCTCCCAGCAAGAGAAGCAGCTGCTGGCCCGGAGAACACATGGAGCACAGAGTGAAGCGGCAAGAGACAGAAGAAGCGGCTCCGGGTGGATCGTCTTAAAGGTAAGAAGAACCATCTAGTGACTCTGGTCTGTTTCCAAACCGCTTTGGCCCTTCTGCGCCCATGCCGCCCCGCCCCCAACGGCCTAGCATGGCAGGCTGCAGGCCAAATAAATTGCTTTGGCCCACAGGGTCATAGTTGGAGGCCAGAGGCAGGCATCGGCATGTAGGCGGAGGCTCCAGTCAGGTGCTTCCCCTGACCCAGCCTAGGTGAAGGGCTATCGGGCGGATGCTCCATGGGAAGGCCGGAGCCGGGGAATGGTACGTCCCCGGGCTCTGACCTGAGGCGCAGGGCAAGCAGGCGGCATGCTTACCTTTGGTGAGCAGAGTAGGCGAGGCGCGGAGATTCGCTGGTGGCGCAAAGGCAAGATATATAGGGTGGGGCAGAGAGGGTGGGGCCAGCACTCCCTTAGAACCTATCCCGGTGGTGTGATTGGTTAAGAGAATACACATCGAGCAGTGCAGCACTCAAAGCCTGCCCTGCACTGGTGAGGGGAGCGGGTTTTTTTTAGCTCAGCTGAGGCGCGGCAATCCGGTCTGCCTCGCAAATCACCTGAGCTAAGGAACAGCAGAAAAATGTGAGAGGTAAGAGTGGGGGCGGGTGTGCGGGGCCAGTCAAAATTTTCCCTACCAGTTCTCCGAACCAGTCAGGATTTTCCCTACCGGGATGCCAGAACCAGTCCAAAGCCGCTGATTACCATCCCTACCTGGAACTCCTACCTCTTCCCACATCCAAATCACATGAAGTTCTCACATAATGACCCACATGGTATTGGAGTTATAACAAGTGGAACTGCTGGAATTGCCCTTATTAAATGATGTGGTCATTGATGTCAATAAGGGTTATGGTGGGTCTTCTTCGACCTTTCTGGCTGGTTCCACTTGGCTGGGTAGAAGAGGAGTCAGTGAGTCCCAGGTCTCTGCAATATGGCCTGAGTTAAGCCTTTTGCTGCTCCTTTTTAACATCTACATGAAACCGCCCAAGGACTGCATCCAGGGGTGGGATTCTACCAGTTCTCACCTATTCGCTAGAACTGGTTGTTAACATTCTAAGCAGTTCGGAGAACCAGCTGTTAGAAGAAATCACTGGCCTAATCCTGTAAGGAAGGCAGGAAGGAAACATTCTGGTGTTGCTTACAGAAACTGCCTCTCCGTTAACCCTTATTACGTTCTTGGCAGGACTAGACTTCCTGTCTCAGAAACCTCTCTGGAGGTTATTTTCCCCTCCTTTGCTAGTATTTTGCTTGTGTGGAGTGACCATTCAGTTAGAATGGCACTGAAAGAAAAGTGACTTATGGCCATTTTTCACACATGACTGTTGCAGCATCCCCAGTCATGAGAGGCCAGGCGAGGAGATGCATGCCTCAATGTGAGTGATATTGAGTTGGCCACGCCCAGCCAATAACATGACCAAGCCATGTTCACCGTCACATGACCACCAAGCCACGCCCACCAACCAAGCCACGCCCACAGAACCGGTTGTTTAAAAAATTTGAACCCCACCCGACTGCATCTATCTTATGTTACCTCATTAAATATCTCCATCCAGAGAGAAGTGATGCTTGGAGGCTACCAGCTTCAATTCAACCCTAGCAAGATAAAGTGTTCGTGTGTTTTTGCCTCTTCCTCCATCCCAACTTCCTGTCCAGATGACATTTCATATCTGACTCTGGACAGACTCTTACTTCTGTGGACTGAACCGGGTGTACAATTTGGAGATATTCCTGGATTTACGGCTCCTGCTTGAGGCGGCCGTAGCTGAGGGAGAGGCTGTGCAGATTCATCTAGAATTTATTTATCTACTGTTTATCGACTCACATTTGCATACTTTCAAGGAGTGATGTGGGGGCCTAGAGCTCTCGCCTCATAATCAGGAGGCTGTGAGTTCGATGCTAGGTAGAGGCTGCTGTTTCTCTCTCTGGGCACACGGAGAATATATCCGCTGCAAAATTCTGCATTGGCGACAGGAAGGGCATCCGGCCAGTAAACACTCAGCTCCATTCAGTGGCCCAGACTTCACCCCGCAAAGGATTACAAGGTCATTAAACGACCAAAATAAAAATAAAATAAAAATTGCATGCTTTCAAACTGCTAGGTCAGCAGGTGTTGCAGAAAGTAACAATAGCCCAACCTGCTTGTGTGACATTCGGATTTCTAACCCAGGCTGTCCATGTTCTTCCTCAGCATATTTAACTGCTGATCACCATGCCTCCTTTGATAGTGAGATAGGAAGCATGTAAATTTAATAAAACAAATACTTTATTTCCTTTTTATTCAGAAACTCAGGATGGCATACAAAGTACTTATTGGGCCAAGAGGGTCTTTTCTCATTTTAAATACCCCAACCAACCCACCCACCTGCACATAAATACCGTTTCTCCAACAATACGGCCTCCCCCAATAGGAAGTCCCAGCATGTTTTATAGGCATGAAATGAAATTAAGCCCCTCCCCCCCAAATTAAGGCCTATATTAAAACATGCGAAATGTGGGGGAAATGGTGGGGGGCTTGCCGTAAGGAAGTACTTTTGTTGCACACCCGGATATGGTGCTGCCTGCGTTGACCCCGATACGAAGTGCCTCACCAACGCCGAGGTCAACATCCAAGCCGTCGCCGCCCGCCTGCCTGAAGATGCAAGGGGGGGGAATTAAGTCACCCCCCCGAAAAGACGGCCTAGCCATTTTTTCGGGGCTCAAAAAAAAAAAAAAAAAAAAGACCCGGCCTTATTATATGAGAAACACGGTACTTCCTGCCTCTCAGTTGGCATTTTAAATTAACATCCAGGAGCTTCTGCCAGCCACCCTCCTGCCTAACCTAACACAGAGCTGGAACTTGTGGCTTTTCATTCAGGGTCCTTGATTCAACAAACATGACCAAGCAAGTGTCTTCAGATAAATACTGGTGCTCTCAGGTAAGAAACAGAGATAAGCACCACTTCCTAGAGCTGGATACAACTGGTCAGAGGAAACATTTGCCTTAATTATTATTTTAAACAGAATATTAACAAGAACTAATAAGGTAAACCTATTTCCAATTTCCTTTACTACACTGAACATAATTAGAAATACAAAACTATATCTGACTCTATGGTTAAAAAATTACTTTTTTTTTTAACAATTACCTGCTTTTTAATAATCAAAACTGTAAGTCATAACTTTATTTTTTTCCACACCAAGCCTCTAAAGGGCTTTCCATTAGCAAGGAGTGTAGAAAATGTCTTTTCTCTGATTGAGGAAGTCAATGATTCATCTCAAACAAGTTCCATCCTCTTCAACCACCATTCCTCCATTACGGTTAAAGTTGAGATTTTCCACTTTAGTGCATAGAATACAGGTGATCGTCGACTTATGACAACAATGGGGGCAGAAATATTGGTCCTAAAACATGATACTCATATGATTGCCTCTCCCAGAAACGGAATCCTGCCCCCTCCCAAGTCACAATCACTAATAGACAATGTAGGTGATCAAGCAAACAGAGTGAAATAGCTGCCTGCCAAAAGACGGCAGGCGGTTCCCCTCTATGTGCAAAAGGGAATTTCGTTGCTGGGCAGATTTCTTTCGCCAGCCAACCATAGGATTTCACCTGTCTTCCCTGTGTGGAAGGGAACAACTGCACTGGGCCAGAGAAAGGAAGCTCAAAGGGCTTGGACTTCCCAACACAGATCTCCTCCTTCATGTTTAATAATAAAGACATTTGATAAAAAGAATCGCTGAGAAATTAAAGTAGCTAGTTTCTCAGCTGAGCTTGCAATGAGAGATTAGAAATGATATTCAAGATTCCACTAACGACACTGAATAACACTTCATGGAATATCTTCTGTACGATAAAAGAGGAATTTTGTGTGAAACACAGCAATCTAAGCGTTAAAATGGTTTCTCCCCTATGTGTAATCTTACATGATTTATAAGGGTAGACCTACTATTGAAATCTTTCCCACAATCTGGACATTCATACGGTCTCTCTCCTGTGTGAGTTCTCTCATGTATCACCAGTTTGGAATTCTGAACAAATTTTTTCCCACACTCCAGACACTCATATGGTTTTTCTCCTGTGTGAGTCCTCTGGTGTATCACCAGGGCAGAATTCCAATGGAAACTTTTACCACAATCCAGACACTGATATGGTTTGTTGCCTGTATGAGTTCTCTGGTGTACCACCAGGTGATAATTCCGACAGAAACCTTTCCCGCAATCAGGACAAATATATGGTTTCTCTCCGGTATGAATTCTCTGGTGGATCACCAGATTGAAATTCCTACTGAAACTTTTTCCACATTCAGGACATTCATATGGTTTCTCTCCCGTGTGAGTTTTCTGATGCATCAGAAGGTTGGCATTCTGCTTGAAACTCTTCCCACAATCTGGACACTCATAGGGTTTCTCTCCCGTGTGAGTTCTCTGGTGTATCACCAGGTTGGAATTCTGACTGAAACACTTCCCACACTCCGGACACTCATATGGTTTATCTCCTGTGTGAGTGCTCTGGTGTACCACCAGATTGAAATTTTTACTGAAACTCTTCCCACAGTCTGGACACTCATATGGTTTCTCTCCCGAGTGAGTCATCTGGTGTATAACTAAATCGGAATTCCGAATGAAACTTTTCCCACACTCCAGACACTCATATGGTTTTTCTCCTGTGTGAGTCCTCTGGTGTATCACCAGGGCGGAATTCCAATTGAAACTTTTACCACAATCCAGACATTGATATGGTTTCTTACCTGTGTGAGTTCTCTGGTGTACCACCAGGTTAGAATTCCAAGAGAAACCTTTCCCACAGTCAGGACACTTATATGGTTTCTCGCCTGTGTGAATTCTCTGGTGTTCCACCAGGTGGGAATTTCTACTGAAACTTTTCCCACAATCCTGACACTCATATGGTTTTTCTCCTGTGTGAATCCTCTGATGTATCACCAGGTCGGAATTCCAACTGAAACCTTTTCCACAATCTGGACACTGATACGGTTTCTCTTCCATGTGAGTCCACTGATATATTAGCAGGTTGGCATTCTGCTTGAAACTCTTACTGTAATCTGGGCACTCATACTGTTTCTCTCTTGTGTGATTTCTCTGATGTATCACCAGTTTGATATTCTGCTTGAAACATTTCTCACAATCCAGACATTTATATGGTTTCTCTCCTGTGTGAATCCTCTGATGTTTCATCAGATCAGACTTCCAAGTATAAGTTTTCCCACAATCAGGACACTCATATGGTTTCTCTCCAGTGTGAGTCTTCTGGTGTATCACCAGGTGGGAATTTCGAGTGAAACTTTTTCCACAATCGGGACATTCAAAGGGTTTCTCCCCAGTGTGAGTTCTCTTGTGTCTCACAAAAATGGGGTGGCATGCTAAAGCTTTTGCTACATTGGGAGGACTGGTAGATCTTCTCTCCGGTGTGAGTGTTTCCATGAGGGAGCTGTTCTCAGTAAAACTTTTGCCACACTATGAGCATTTGTGTGGATTTTCATTGGTGCGGACCCTCTGTTGCATAATTAGCTGTGATCTGCAATCTGTTGTTTTTTTCCACAATAGGCCCTCTGTGTTTTTCTAACACTGATATTCTTGGATACTTGAGGAGGCGAAAAATAGTTCTGATCTCTTATCTGCAGATATTCTGATATAAGCCATTCTTTCCTTCCTCAAATTATTTCATTAATGACTTCCCATTTTGGCTATCCAAGGGAACTTTCCCTTCCCACTGACTTCCAATTGTTTTCACTTTTTCCGAATTTGGAAATTATCCCCTTTGACTTTTTAATTAATCTTTCCTTGAGTTCCACATACTCTATTGTTTCCAGCTCAAAACTTTATTCTTTCCCTTGTTTCTCACCTTTTGAGGAAAGAGAAGCGTTCTAACACTTTCTGGAGGAAGTGGAAAAGATTTTGATTTTTTGTTTTAACACTGCTTCTCATTCTCTGTTATTCACAGTCCTCTTCTTAGCATCTTCTTTGTCTGTAAGATTCATATTAATGAGTTAGTTTCAATATTCTTTAAAAAATGGCTGCAGTACATGAGGAAACAGCAAAAAAAGCCCCACGTGTATTACCATGTACCATCAAAATGGTAGTTTAACCTGTAATAATTATGGTTCATTTGACACATAAAAACATCTAAGTTTGAATCTACGCTCAATCATTTTCTTCTTGCATTGTGTAAATTATGAATTATTAGCATTGAAAATTGTTATTATAAAATATTCTTGAAAATACTGAAGATTATACAGTTTACACATATACGAACACATAAATATACATCTATGAATTAGTGTATGTAAAAATCTCTATGTTTGTTTCAGTCTGCAAAATGTCCCAGAAGTGCTCAAATTCTTTGATCTAATTTTAGAAAGGCGGGGCCACTAACAGATGAAACGATGCCCAAATCCAATGCAAGAGTTAAAGCATCTGTTTTGCCCATGAAACTCCTCATTTGACAGGTCAAGAAAACGGGTCAATAAAATCAGAAGGAATCAAGTGTTATGTGAAGACTGAGGGAGATGTCAGGTTAACGAATATGAAACAGAAATCAATATATATATATATTTTATAAATCTCCCAAATCTCCCATTGGTAAAATCACAGGCGGCAGTTTTAAATCCTGCAACCCCACAGAAATAAAATTCGGAGAGGGAAAGAATATGCAGCACCAGCCAACACGTTTCAGCCTCGCTGCTCCATCTCCCGCTTCCCCGCCGTGGAGGAACCCAAAGGGCCCGACTTGCTCCCGGCTTCTCCTCCGACCTACCCTCCACTCACCTCCCAGGAGACGCTTCGGTCCTCCAAACAGCACAAGAAGCAGCCGACGCCATTATCAGCCGGAAGAGGAAGTTACTCTGTCCTTTTCCTCTTCTCCTCTATATCCTCTCTAGCAACCCTATCGTTCCAACCCGTTTCAATCTCAGCCTTCCTTCCCCTTCCCTAGAAGAGCTCGGCCGCCGCTGTACTGTATTCACGGCTTTCTACGCTCGAGTGTCGCTTATTGATACAGCGCCATCTAGTGACACAAGACCGAAAAATCACGCTCCTCCTTTCATTGAATCCTTGCTTCCTTCCTTCTGTGCCACCAAGTCCTATTCGACTTGCACCGAGCTCGTCCATAGCTTTTGTCCATGGCCGTCAATCCCACACTTTTTCTCTTTCACGTCCCCCCAAGAGGGCACTCATGGGCCCCTGGAGCTGAGCTGCAAGCGTCGTTTGGAAGAAGAGGGAACTAAACTTCGGAAAGCACCCTTGGGGGGAAATGATATGCAAATAGGAAAGGAGACACTGACCTAAACGATTGCCAACCTCATCCCATTAATAAAAAAAAAAACGAAATACAGGACAAAACCTTGAAGCGCCCACCCACATTACTTCCAAACACATTCCACACTCATTTTTCTAATTAGAAATTTAATCTAATATTCAAAACACACAAAAACAATAGAAAATAAGCAATAAAAATTGGGGGGGGAATACCTCATACAATACGCCTTCCCTCCTTCTTTCTATCAAGTAATTGTTATACGCATTCCTGTGTGAGAACTGTATCTCCTCAACTAACCAGAAGAAAACCCTTCTTAAAAATGGATCCTGAAGTCCATTCCTCAGAGAAATCCAGGCCAATGTTTCCCTTCCACATTGCTCAGATCTGTGCAGAGGAACAGGGAGATGTTCTCTTTGCTATTGATGTGGCAGATAGAGAGGAAAGATAAAATACTCACCTCTAATGATCTAAGTGCTAGAGCCCACTGCAACTACATAGCCAAAAAGGCATTAAGAGTTGTAAACCTAATCCTACGTAGCTTTTTCTCTGGTAATATCACACTACTAACCAGAGCATACAAAACATTTGCTAGACCAATACTCGAATACAGTTCATCAGTCTGGAACCCACATTACGTATCTGATATTAGCACAATTGAGAAAGTCCAGAAATATTTCACAAGAAGAGTTCTCCACTCCTCTACTCGTTGTAGAATACCTTATGCCACCAGACTTGAAATTCTAGAACTAGAAAACCTTGAATTACGCCGTCTTCGGTCTGACTTAAGCATGGTATATAAAATCATACATTGCAATGTCCTACCTGTCAGTGAATACTTCAGCTTCAACCATAACAACACAAGAGCACACAATAGATATAAACTCAAAGTAAACCACACCAAACTTGATTGCAGGAAATACGACTTCAGCAATAGAGTGGTCAATGTCTGGAATACTCTACCTGACTGTAGTTTCTTCCCCAAACCCCAAAAACTTTAACCTTAGACTGTCTACTATTGACCTCACCCCTTTCCTAAGAGGTCTGTAGGGGGCGTGCATAAGCGCACCAACGTGCCTACCGTCCCTGTCCTATTGTTTCTCTTATTCTTTTATTTTTCTTATATGTACCCATTTCATGTATTCACAACTATGTATACACTTATACTTATTATCTTGTAAACTGTTCTGTACAAGGAATTAACATACTTGCAAACCCCGCGTTGCGATTGGCTAAAGCGCGCGGCAACCGGATTGGTCGGGCAAGCCGCCCGGATTGGTCCGTTAAGAATCTCCCGCTATTGGTTGAACCAAGAGCGGGAGATTCGAAACGATGTCATTGGCCGCGGGCCGCCGCGGCTTGGAAATAAAAAGCCGGGGTTTTTTCCTTCCTTTCCCAAGCATGTACTGGAGCACAATAAAGAGCTGAACTTTGTCACTGACTCCGAGCTTCCTTCCTGCGCCGGACACGACATAAACAATTGGCAAATCAAATAAATAAAAATAAAAAAAATAAAAGGCACACTGAACTTTATAGGAAATGGATGGAATGGAGATTAGATGGATGGATGGAATGGAATGGAATAGAATGGAATGGAGGGAGAGACCAACACTAGGACATATGGAAATTAGGATTAGAGAAATGCAGAAGTTAGGAATAGAAGGAGATATAGTGATACAAGCCTTTTGAAAGTATAGAATAAGGAAAGTATAGAATAGGGAATTGCAATAGATCTTATGCGAGAGCTATTTTGGTGTAGGGGTTAATGCTCCAGGCTGGGAACTCAGGAGACAGTGAGTGGGAATCCTGGGCAGAAAGTCCGCTGGGGGGATATTTCCTCTCCCAGCCCAGAAAGGAGGAAGCCTGGAGCCCACCCATCTGTAGCTCTCACCCACAGCTCTCGTCTGCTGGTCCGCTTGCCTGGGACGCCTATCTCTTCCCACATTACAGACAAATGAAGTCCTCACTTAATGACCCAAGTGATCCTGGAGTTGCGATGGCAACTGGAACTGACAGGAATGCCCTCGCTAAGCGACGTAGTCATTTAGTATCACTTTTTTATAACCCCAGTCAAGGGTTATGGTGGATCTTCTACCTCCATGGCCGGTTCCCGGTTGGTATGGGTAGGAGAGGAGTGGCTGAGTCCTAGGTCCCTTCAATATGGGGTGCCCTCTGGCCCAAGCCTTTCGCTGCCCCCTTTTTAACATCTACATGAAACTCCCAGGGGAGCCCATGCATCCTGTGATGCCCCGTTATGCACCTTCACCCAGACAGAGCTGATGCTCTGGTAATGTTTCCCCAAGTGTCTGAGGGCTACAGCTTCATTTCAACCCTGGCAAAATGTTCATGTGTTTTTGCCTTCCTTCCCCCTCCACCCCCAGAGTAGATGACATTTCATCTTTGGACAGAATGGTACTTCCCTGGCGCACAACCTGGGGACCCTCCTGGGCTCCTGACTCCTGTTTGGGAAAGGGGGGGGGGCTTTGCAAAGATTCATCTGGTGCACCATTTGTCCCCTTTCTTGGAGCGGGAGGCCTTGCACAGAGGGTCACTCATGCCTTGGTTGCTTCGCCTCCCAGTTTGGATCATTGCAATGGACTCTCCATGGGGCTGCCTAGACCACTCAGAAACTTCAGCTGGTCCAGAACACAGCAACACACACAGTAACGTGGGCCCCTAGGTTGCCCATGTAACATTTTTTGTTGTGCAAGCTGCACTGGATTTCAGTTTTTCCCCCAGGAACAATTCAAAGTGCTGCTCATCACATTTAAAACTCTCTTCCCCCCACCTCTATCTATCTATCTATCTATCTATCTATCTATCTATCTATCTATCTATCTATCCATCCATCCATATCTATATCTATCTAATCTATCCATATCTATATCTATCTATCCATATCTATATCTATCTAATCTATCCATATCTAT